ACTTCAGAACACACAGCCCAAACATTAGATGAAACAGAAGGAAAACTCCAATCATAAAAAAGCCAGTGCTCTGAGGATTTATTTCATCCTTTTCTCTAGCACTTCAGAAGGAAGAGTCAAGGTATTAGATATAATATGCACACACACAAATTCTACATACATAAGTAAATATAAAATTACATACCTCTTGTTTAGCCACACATCCACATGAATCCTGAGGTGACATAGATTCAAGCTGCCAACATGAATTATTTTTTCTAATGGGAATAAACATAACAATAGGAATAACCATTAAATGAAAGGAACGTATTATTTAACAGAAAAAATCCACAGAATAACAAGCAGATCTAGCATCTTGAGCACCTTCTTAGTGTTTTATCACAGTGGCAACTGTGTCTAAAGCTATATCAATTTTACTCATTTGTATCAAAGCAGATTCACTAAAAATATGTACATAAGTAAAGCAGCAAATGAGCTGCATGTCTTGTGTTTGCAGCAGTAATATAAGTAAAGCATGGCCACAACTCTGCATTCCCAAAGTTGAAATATCTGAAATGTTTCCTAAAAAATATAGTAATTATTTTCTAACCTTCATTCATATGGACACCAGACTTCATCAAAATCATCCTGAAATTAATCGGAAAGCTGTCACTGACTTTTAAGGGATTTGGATCAGACCTTTAACAATGAAGCTTACTCATGTACTTTAACTAGATGTCAGCTCCTTCATCAGAATAGATTTGTCATTAACCTCATGCTGCAAAAAAAGCTTAAGATAATCCACACTACACAGAAAAAAACCCCACTGAATTTACTATATTTACAATTAAGGAAGTAGTTACATTATTCACAGTTACCCTTGTTCTGAATGCATGCATATGTGGTCCCAATCAGAGAAATATCTTAGTAGAATCTGAGAAAGGTTTCCTAGGTTATCATCTTCAGTGCTGTACAAAGTGGGCCACGGGGGAAGGGGGAAAAAGGAGGAAAAAAAAAAGAGTTAATATGCCTAGTTCTATCAACCTTCAGGTTCAAGACCCTACCTGTTTACCAAGAAATTAAAGAAGTCTAAAATCCATGCATAGGAAACATACCAAAACAGGAAGATTATCTCATTTAAAAAACTATATGTGAACATGTAAACAAGATTCAATACAAGTAATGTTAAACAAATCTCAATGTTGGACCTAAGCAATTAGTTAAAATGAAGCATGCAAAGGCTTGTTTAAATACATTTGTGCATTTACATATAAATGGCTATGACCAGTATTGAAATAGATTATCCAGTTCAAACTGCTCCAGAGTCTTTTCCTGTTTCTCCAGAAAGTTCTATGCACAATTTTACCTAATTTTATCTCTCTCTCATAATAAACTATAAAAATCTACTAAACATCTGAAAAATAAACAGCTATTGTAAAAAGTAACTTATTATTCTTCCTAGAATGCAAATAGTCTTTAAAATATGAGAACTCAAGGATACTTGAGTATACTCATATACTTGAGTTCTCTGGCTGTTGATGATGATAGATGAGACCTTTACCTAAAGAAAGATTCTGCATTGTCATAAAGTCTTGGTGTCAGCTTGAGAGAAGGATAATCAATAGCCAGCGGCTTCACACTGAACAAGGCCATTGCCAGTGCAACAAAGAGGACAGGCACCAGCACATTTGACAGACTTCCTCTCCAGTCTCGTCTAGTGTGGTGAAACCTCTTCATCAGAAATGCAACAATCTGTGAAAGAACAAGATGGGCTCCAGACACACTTGAGGTCTCCGTAAGTGAGATATCTGAAAAAGACAAAAAAAACAACAAATCCAAAGCTCTTGACAAGCAATGAAAATCAAACTAAACTTTCATGTGCTACATTTTCAAATATAGAATATTATAGTCTTTGATAGACAAAACAAAACTACATAAACCTAAAATGTTTTCCTGAATGGATTAGTATAATCCTTTGCCCACTCACTCCCCCCATCCAGTATAACTAGTTAACTCTTCCTATAAGGGAAAACGTATTCAGCTAACACATTATAACTCCCAATACACAGCTAAAGGAGTGCTGAATACCTATTTTCCTATGGTCTTTGCACTGGCACAACCATTCCTGGTGCATTACCACCTTTGCTCCTAGACAAATGGCTATGACAGACATGGTCTGTATTAGCACTAAGGTCTTGGTCCACCTTGACTGAAATCAGTGGCAACTTTTCCACAGGGATTTCAATGGGATGACTTCAGAATATGTAATAGAGCATCACAGATGCTAGAGATGTGAATTATTACAAAAGCATTCCCTTCATTTATCTGCTCATATAGGACTGATAAAATTTTCTCATCTGTTAGTCAATGCAGTTCTCTTAATTCCAGCTCATGTGCTCTCTCTTACATTCCTATGGGATTGTGTCCACAGCTTATTAACATCTCACCAATCAGGCATTTTCCTGATAGGCTCTCCCTTAATTTCATTTTACTGTTAGACACTTGCAAATCCCACCAATCACTTTGTCTCCATTTGAGACTCTAATGTCTTCTAAGTTATTACCAACTTCTTGTACTTGTGGCCTTGCTAGACTGAATGCACTTAAGCCTCTTTTCTTGCTCATAGCACAGCAGTGTCTGGTGGATTTACTACCACAGGTATTTGCACTGTAGCAAGACTGAATAGCCTGTTTATTGTAGTGCTCAAAGACACACTATATTTTATGCTCCCTTGTGATTTGTCCTTACTGCCTTCCCTTTTACATATTGAGGCCACTCTAAGCAGCATTTCCACGTTACATTTTAACAGCTACTTGCATGGGAGCTTTCAAGTAATCTCAAAATAATTGTTCTTCACTTAGCACAGGGGGTTTTTTCCTGGTTTATTAGAACTTTAATCCCAGAAGAAAGAGCTGTGGGACAGATGTGGGGGGGGGAGGGTGAAGGTGGGGGGAGGAGGAACAACAAAAACAAACAAACTAACTAACTAAAACCCCAAAAACAGAAAAAGAAGTTGCACTTCTGACAAAGTGGCTGTTGAGCAAAACAGCAGCTCAAATTCTGTATTCTACAACTGGAGTGTGAATTATAATCTTATGGTTTTTCATATTAAAAATTATGTGTGTTTTGCCATGAAAAGTTACAATAAAGTAGACACATTGTGGGAGATTGTGGGTTTGGGACTACATAATAATAATAAGTCAGGTGAGTCAGGACTTCAGAGCAACACAGAATACCTCATGTGGACTTCTCAAGGCTAAGACTTTTGGAAAAAGACAAGCATCACATCCGCCTCCAAGAAGAGCAAAAAACATAATCCAGGTAAATACAGTTTAGCCATCCTCAGTCCCTGGGAAGGTTACCAACCAAATCCTCCAGAAAATGAAACCCAGGATACGAAAAACAAGAAATTACAGGGAATAGACAACAGGGACTTTGTAAGGTTGAACTGCATCACCTGAGAGCTTGGCATAAATACAGGACTAGTTTGATGAATGAAGAAAGAGCAGTGGATGCTGTTTACTTTGACTTAAAGCCTGTTACATGGTCTCCAACAATGTCCTTGGAGCAAATGGGGTGAGGAGGACTACAAGGACCACTGACTGGACTGCCAGGCACCACACTGTGGGCAGCAGTAGCAGGTCCAACTGAGGAGTAGTTAGTTACTAGGGCTGTCCCTCAGGGATGACGATGAGGAAAACGCTGACTAACAGCACTTGTTAACACACACACGTGTGCATACCTGCACCTGGAGGATACCCACACTCTTTGGAGGATACCCACACTGTCTGGAAGCTACCCACACTGTTTGGAGGCATCTGTGGGTCAGGCACTGGAGATGAGGAAAATGGCCTAGGCATCAGGAGAAGCTCTCCAGCAGCACCCAGGAACCCCAGTGGCACCAGAAAGCAAAGCCTCTGCTCAGGGAAAGGACAAGAAGCAATAGGAACCAGCATTCCAGCTGGTACGGGGCACTCTGACTTGATATATCAGGAAAAAAAATTCACTGTGAGTGTGACAACCAAAACTCAAAACCTGATTGGACAAGGCACTAAGTAACCTGCTTTTACTTGACCAGATATTCCAACTTTAATATTCTCTGTTCCTATCAAATTCCAATTAACTCCAGGTAACTAATTTTGGTTTTTATTTCTGGGGAAAAAGAAAATCCAGTATTTATTCTTTTAATTCCGTAACTGAATGACATTTCTTTTTTTCCCCAGAAAATCCTATAGAACTGACATTCTGTCTTTAAGTGGTTCTAATCACAGGCATATCTTGCTAATTTCACAGCTAATACAAATGGGGTTTAGGATTTTGAATCTCTGTTGAGAGAAAAAATAGCTACAAAATTCAGATCCTGGTTCAGCATTCAAGTATCCCAGTCAAGGATGGTTACATTTTGGGCTTGGAACCTGTTTTTTCTATAAATTGGACTAGTGGGAGAAGACAATCTTAATAAAAGAAGAAATTTTTTTAAGCAAACATCTTATGAATGTATTAAGCTATTTTAATTATGACAAGACTTTCAATAGTTGACTTAATACAGAAATTGAGACACTTGGAATCAGAACAATTTTCAAGGGATTAATTTTTTTTAGAGTAAAACAGATCCTGTAAATATTTCCAGCTGAGTCTCCCTGAAATTGTAAAATACATCATCTCTCATTTTTCAAAGTAGTGAAATGCCATAAAAGGAGGATAGAACAAGATATTTGCAATGGTCCCAGATCTGTTCATAGATGATAAGCATGAAATGTGAGTGGAATATGCTACAAAATATTTACCCTGTTGAATCACTATGAGAGAGCTATGACAGTTACTTCCTGGGTGCAAAAAGCGAAATCAAAGCAGCCATTCATTAGTTTTTCTTGACGAATGGAGCAGAGAGAAATGATAACAAATTAATTCATATCGCAATAAGAGGAGAAACCTTCATCCTGAATATAACTACTTGTCCATTTTGTGCAATATCCTAACTCTTATTGAATATTCCTAATGCTGGCCAGCCAAGATACATCACAAGAAGATGCGATAAGCCATTATATTAAAATTATATGTTTGCCTCAGGCACTTCATTTTAAAATTATTTGTCTTTTCTAAAACAAGCATACAATTATTATTTAAAATTCTTACTGAGAAAGGTGTCAAATGTCTCTCTGAATCATCTTAAATTTCTGTCTTTGTGACCTTGAATTCTGTCATTCCTTTGTGTGCCAGGTAAAAACCAAAAATTTCATTTATCTGTTTTGAATTTATTCTATTTAATGGTACTGGATATGCTCTTAAATCTTGCTTTAGGAGACCTATTATAGCCTATTTAGGTTACAGAAGATTCCAGTCTATCTTCTGCATAACTAATCTCAACATTTCAGTCTCCTCTTATAAAAATCTTTATAATTTTAATCACCCTAACCACTTGCCTCAAGTCCACCCTGTATCAGTCTCAAGATATACTGTGTTCAACACAGCTGTCTATCAGATGTGGAAACACTACTGATTTATACAATAGCATTATGCATTCTTGCACTGATCTGCTCATCTTCTTTAGGCATCATACCATTTTGTCTGACTGCAGCCATACTGTGAAAAGTAACCTGCATTGAGCATTCCATAATTGACTCAATATGGCTTTCAAGATTCCCAAGGTATTAAATCACTCAAAAAGAAAAAAATCTCATGCCTATTCCTGTGTACACTTGCCACTTGCTATTTAACCTTTCAAGTTTCTGAATCCTACATGTATAGTCTAATTTAATTTTCTCTTAACCAGAACCTACAAAATTAATTTTTTGCTTCATAAAGCTTGTAAGTAATTCACCATCTACATTTGGTATGTATGTCAGGAGACATAAAAGAAGTACACATTTATAGGAAAACAGTTTCTGATTACCACTGATAATCATAAAAGCTAGAAGAAAAGACCAGCTGACCTCTCTGTTATGAAGTCGATTTTTTATGCAGAAAGCTTATGGAAATATTCTGATTAATAATTTAGATCATAAAATTAAAAATCTGACCCAACTGTTAGAAGCTGTCTCGCTTGACTTATGATTGCAATTATCCACAAGAAGTGCAATTATGTTCACAATTAAGTTGTACTTCCCAATTCATCCAGACTCCTCTTTGTATTATGGAAAAGGTTTTCACCTCTTTTCAATTCATGTAGTTAGTAACAGGTAGAGGGGAACAGAGCACAATTCCTAAAATTTGGGAACCAAGATTTTTAAAATCCTTATCTATGAACTGTACTGTTCTAGAATTAGGAGCAGAATCAAATATATCCCTATTTGGATATTAGATGGTCTTTTACTCCTCCTTTTTGCATTTCTAGAAAATAATGTAATTCTAATTTTTTTCATGGCACAATAAAATAAGGAAAAATGGGCTGTGGCTATGTTAACAGCCAGGAGCAGACATTTTCAATTTTACTTCTGTCATTCTGGCTTTTAGACAAGTCATTTAGAGTAGGTTCAGGTTTTGCGAATCTATTCTTGGAACCAAAATACCCTGGGCAAAACAGTTGAGCTAGCTCACATGAAACTGGTTGCATTTGGAAGCAGTATATATTTATTAGCTTATCAGAAGTTCTGCGCCAACAAGTAGTTCTAGGCTGAGCTAGTGATCTGACATCATTCTGCATTTCAGCATTTGCCATATTGGCATAGATTCAGCACTAGCCCACCAACTTCTGCACAGCATTCCATGAGAAGGTATCCAAATGTTCTTCATTATCTTACATATTTGTTTACTTTTTATAAAAATAAATATAGTATTGATTTTGTTTCCTGGAGGATTTTGAGGACTG